CAACAGGATCCAGTTATCATCTGAACACTTCAATTTATATTTTCTTTAAGCAAAAGGAAATATAAGGAAGCACTGCAAATCAGTAAACATTGGGACTTGGGCATTTCTTCAATTAGAGAAAAGGATGTCATTATTATGCCTTTTGAACTTTGGAATGCAGAACTACAGGTTTGTAACAACAGGAAAAAAAAAATCATGTACTAAGTATAGCTCTGACCCCTTAGAGTTTCAGAATCTTACTTGATGAAACTGTTTAGGGCTAGACTAATACAGCAATTGGCAATACATTCAGCTCCTTGAAAAAGACACCTTCTTTTGAATAGCACTTAAGGCAATATATTAAATTTATCTTCAAGAGTTTTTCTGCCTTTGTCTCATCTTGATTTATTTTAAAAGCAGGGTATAAAAAATTAAAAGGCCACTATTTTCTTTTCCTGACATCTAGAGTGAAATCTGTGGGAAATTAAAAAGAAGCAAACAACCCAGAGAAACAAAACTCTCCAAAAGAGTCTAAAATTGTCTAGATCATTAGTCACTTAAGCCAATTCAACAAGCAGTGAATTTTGGTCTTTCAAACACTACTTCTGAAATAACAATATGACTACCATATTAACTCTAAAAATGCAAAGACAGCACAGAAGCAGACATTAATAGATAGACAGAATAAGCTGTGACTGATTTAAATCAACATGATTTCTATTTGAGTGGTTGAAAGCACATTTGGCTGAAATATATCAATGATATATATGTATTTCTTTATGATTTTACATGAAAAATAAAGAACACTTGAAGATATTAGTTAATGTAATATGTTTGTCAAAATCTCTAAAAAATATGTACTTGATTCAAACAATGGATAAGGTCACACTTGGCATCAGAAGTTCTGGGTTCCTAAGCCATTTCTGTCAGTTAGCCTCTCTGAACCAGTTTCCTCATCTATAAAAATGGTAAAAATCATTCATAATTGAGGACATTTCCTTTCTTCTCTTTTACTTCTCAATCCATTCTCATCCTCATTACTCAAGACAATTCTTGTTTCCAAAGTCCTGGGCACTATCAAATCATTCAACATCAGAAACCTATGTGATTTTAGTGATGGAAATGACATTACAGATGCATTTTTATCTACTTTGCTGCTATAATATATTGCTCTCTCTATCATCCCTGATCTTTCATTAATATTCAGTCACTCTTTGTCTACTGGCTACTTCCCTACTACCTACAAAACACACCCATGTCTCCCATTCTTAAAAAACCCTCCCTTTATGTGTCCATCCCTGCTAGCTATCAGCCTTTATCTCTCCTCCCTCTGGTGACTAATCTCCATAAGAAGGCCTTCTATAATAGCTACTTCCACTTTTCTTCTCATTCTTTTCTTAACTCTTTATAGGCTGACTTCTGATCTCATCATTCAACTGAAACTGCTCTCTCTAAAGTTACCACTGGTCTCTTAATTGACAAATCCAATGACCTTTTAAAAGTCTTCACCCTTTTTGCCTTCTCTATAGCCTTTGACACTGTTGGTCACCCTCATGAAGACATGAGGGAATCAATAAATCAATAAATCAATAAATATTTACCAAGTAACTACTTTGTGTCAGATACTCTGCTAAGATCTGAAGATGAAAACATGGAAATGAAATAATCCCTGCCTCAATGAGCTTATACTCCATCTGGAGAGGCAAGACATATATACCTATGCATGCACCCATACACAAATACATATAAACTCATTTCTGGACCTCTAGATACCTCCAGGTTCAATGTAGGGTATTTTGGAATATAATAATTATGCTAGTATGACTCATGCTCCCATACTAGTATGCACGGTACTAAACTAGACGCTTGAATCAAACAGCCAAAATAATAGAAATAGAATGGGATGGTGGTGGCCTTGATAGAAACAGGGGAAGTCTGGAAAGGAAAAAGATAATGTGTTCTGTATGAGAAAGTGGAGTTCAAAAGGTTATGTGTCATGAAGCTTGAAATATCCAATAGGTTGGAGCCCAGGAGAAATACTAGGGTTAACTTGCAAATTTGTAAGTTATCTGCATAGAGCTCATTAAACCCACGGTGGTTATTGATCAAGTACAGAGATAGTATAAAGAGAGAATAAAAGAGAAGCCAGACAGAGTATACCCACTTAGTTAGGGGATGTGATGTTAAAAAATGAACCAGGAAATGAGAACCTGAGAAGGAGTAGTTAGATAGATATGAGGAGAACAAAGAGAGAACAGTGCCATAAAAACATAGAGAGAAGAAAATATGTAAGAGAGATTTGCAGAGGCTTCAACATAGATGAAAATTATTATTATACTCATCACTATTATACTCAAAAGAGTATCAGATGGGTTAATTAATTAAGATATCACTGGCAACTTTGGAGAGAGTTGCTTCTTACTTCACAAGCCAAATTACAAAGAGTTGGTAAGTGAGTAAAACTCCTTTTTAAGGAATTTGACTATGAAAAGAAAGAGAACTAAAGAATGTTTGCATCTAATAAGAGTTTTTCAGAATGGGTGAGACTTGGTCAAGTCTGTAGGCAGTGGGGAGGAAAACAGTAGGTCAGGAGAAACTGAAGATTAGACAGAGAGAGAAAATTATTGTGGGGACAATATGCTGGAGAAGACAGGAGGGAATGTGATTAAGAGCACATGTAGAGGAGATGGCCTTGGCAAGAAAAAGGATCACTTCATCAAAAACTTGAATGAAGGAAGACAGAATAAGGAATGATGTTAGAGGATTTTGAGAGGTAGAGAAGAGGGGGCTCACAGTGAACCATTTGCATTTTCTCATTAAAGTAAGAGGCAAGATTTGTAAAGGAAGGGGACACAGGATGGTATGGAAGACTGAGAGGAGAAGAGAAGGTCTAGAATAGTCTCTGTAGAAAATCAATTGGTAATAATAGGACTGCCTTGTTGAGGAGAGGGCCTACTTGAGATTCAATAACAAATTTATAGTGGACTTTGTTGAATGATTTCTTTCAGTTTTATTCCATTCTACTCAATAAACATTTATTAAGCACATATTATATGCCAGGCACTGTGCACACGTGAGTAGGAACAAAAGTGGCTGATATTAGGAGCAGGGGATTCAAGAGCAGAAAACAGTATAGAGGTGAATTGGTTAACTATAGGGTCAGGTTTGGGAAGGGAAGAAAGTGTAGACAGAACAGAGGTGATAGCCTGGGAGATTGATGATGGATGGAAGGACTGGAGGTTAGTCAGGATGAAGAATAGGTTTAGAAAGAATAAGACACATGGAGAGATGGAAAGTATGATAGCAGATCATGATCTGATAACAAGATATGGGAGTTTTTGTTCATGGAAGTGAAACACTTCTGTTAAATTAATGGTGAGATCAAGGGTGAGATCATCCCTATGTATAGCTGAGGTGGAGTCAAAGAGTAGGTCATGGGTATTGAAGGGATTGGCAAATGGGAGATTATAATGTTACAGATATTAACATGTACGTTAAAGTCCTGTATCATAGGGATGCAAAAAAAGACTATAAGCCACATACTGAATTTCTTGAGGAAGGAATTAAAAGAAAAGAAGGATCAGGGAAGCATATACTGCTGCTTTGACCAAGTTATTATCAGTGACTCCCACTGCTGGTCCTTCTTCTGCCAAAGGGGATTTAAGGCCCTAAAAATGTTGTCATCCTGTTCCTTAGAAGTAGCAATGGTAGGACTACATAGAGGGCTCTAGAGAGTATACTGCTGCTGCCCAGTTAGGTTGTTCTCCTAAAGCTGAAAGTAGGGAGAAGAGGAAGCTAATTTAATGATTCTAACCCTATTACATTACAACAGCGAAAAGAAGCTACAGCCTTAACAGATCTGACCAGGACTACCATTACCATTAAGGAAGAATGAGAAGAGAACAGACAACAGAAAGTGGAATGGGCAGTCCTGGCAGCTGGTGGTAATTTGTTTTTTCTTGTTTAAAATTGGCAATGAGATTGCTTCTTGAGAGGCAAGAATTTATGACAAGTGGCAAATGTGCTTTACTATGCCCAGAATATAGTGCCAGCCTAAACAGTTTCAGTAGTAATAAGGTGTTACCAAGCCCTGATCTTTGAAAATCTCTTCCAACTAATGATATCTGTTAAGGACAAATTAGTAAAAGACAGGTCTGAGAACAATGTCTGAGCTTTGTTACTTGTAAAGAAAATTTAATAACAGGACTCATGAAGTCCTAATTAAGAGATTTTAATCATAGGGAATAAGTTCTTGCATTTCCCACTTTAGGCATTTGAGGTTTGGTGAAAAGATGCTCACATACTATTTGTCAGACTAATTTTCTTCTATTATATAGTTTATTTTTTATTTAATTTTATTTTCAGTTGCAAATTATCTTTCTCCTTCAACTCTTCTCCCTTCTTCCCCCACCGGGAAGGCAAGAAATACAAAGCCATTATAAATCTTTTGTATAATTTTAGAGGCAGAAGTATATATATATATATATATATATTATATATATACATATATAAATATATGTGTATATATATTATATATATAAACATATGTATATGTACATACATACATGTACATGATACATATATATGTATTATTCCATAACCATAGGCACTTAGGAGCTTCCTTTAATATATTGTAATGGATCAATAGCCAAGGTTAGTAATAAAATGAACAATACTTGCTAACATAACAACCCTTTAGATGTATCTTAACATCTACACTTCTATTATCATAAATTTCAATAGTCAATGGAGCCTCTACTACACAATTAATTATGAATTATGACATTTCTTTGAATTACTGGTGGTAAAGCAATCTTTCCTGACTATAGTAACAATTTTTTATTAAAAGGAAAAAAGTTGAAAAGATGAATACTTTATGACACAGCCTATGTTTTCTCTTTATAGCAAAAATGTTTAACTAAATAGAGTTTGATTTCATAAGAACACTTCCTTAAGTTGTAAGATCAGGCAGAAAAAGGTCCAACTTAGCCAACTCTAGGCTAAAATAGATGTAATCTTACCTGTAGTAAATCCGCAGTGTCTGGATTTCTTCTTTTAATTTTTTATATTGTTGAACGGCAGTTTCTCTATCCTGTTGCATGGATAACAACTTTGCCTGCAAATAGATGGTTGAGAATTTATGAAAGGAGCTATTTTCATTATTTTAAAAAAACTTCCACATAATACTGCTATGTGAATTGCAGAGATAAGGAATGGCCTTTAATTTCATTGGTTATAGAGAACTCTCTTTGAGGCAACTCCCTGAACCAAACAATACAGGTCAGCCCTTTACCTGCAACCTATAGTCTTAGAGAGTTGCCTAGAGTACTCAGAGATTAAGTAACTTACACTGTCAGGAGAGGATACTGAACCCAGTTCTTCCTGGTATCAAGGCTAGCTTTATTTGTTATGCCATAATATCCCATTAAATGTTATATAGGTAATCAATTTACTGATATATTTTAAATTTGGAACCAATTTAACACTATTCCTTAGGTTTACCCCTAAAATATTATAGTTCTATATTATTGTTGTTATTGTTATTATTACTACTAATGAAACTCAGAAAATTCAAAGTGTGTAGCCAGGCCATTTTTCTGGATTCTCTTTGGGGGAGAAAAGATCCATAAGATCCAAAGTTGACCTCATTAATTTGGTATTTTAATGTTCTTTGATGATAATCATTTCAAATTAGTATACTGCAATATCTACAGAATCACAAAACTTGACAGTTGGAAGGGACCTCAGTGGCTATCTAATCCAACCTATTCATGAAAGGTGTTTCTACTCTAAGATACCCAACAAGTAGTTTAGATGCCAGAGATTATTTTTTTTTAAAGGACCTACCTACCCCTAGCCACAGTCGTAGAAATTTGATGGACCTGTTCTTTTCTCCTCTTCTTATAGAGTTCAAAAGCAATAGTTTAAAACAAATTCATTTTATCACACATATTGTGATTATTATCTCAGAGTCCCAAGACATTAATGAGATACTTGGTTATGCTGCAAGAAAAGGGATATACTATCTAACAAAAAGATAGAGATGGCAAAGCTTTGGATATAAAGAGGAAGGAGAAGGGTCATAAGGAATATAAAAGACCTGCAGCCCAAGGCTAAACATCAAAAGGAGAAAGAAAAGGTGGGACTGAAGTATGGCAGAAAAAGGAGATATTGAGGATGGCCATTGGCTCTACAAGCCATCTCAGAGCAGAAAACTCAGCCAGACTCCACCAGTGTACTCACTGACTGAGAGTACTTGGAAGAGATCTGTTTTTCACTCAACTTGCCATTTCTTCTAGTACCTGACTAGTCTCTCTCTTTCTCTCTCTGTATAAATAATCTGTTGTTCTATTAACTGAACATTTTCAGTAATCTAATTTTCGTCTCAATAAAAGAGGCTAGAGGCAGAGGGCTCAACCTTTACCTGTTAGGAATTAACCTAAATGGGATCGCAGAGTGATTGTAATTGAACTCATAACTTTTCATGTAAAATAAACTCTGTGAAAGTTACAAAGGAGGAAATCATGTGAATTATAGGGTGGATTATACTGCTCCTAGGCTTAAAATAATAATTAATAACTTTAACAGATTATTATACTACCATCAAGCCTAAATTTGCCTCTTTGACACTTCCACCCATTGTTTGGGATTCTGCCCCATGGGAAGAAAAATACCAACTGTACTTCTTGGCTTTCAGTCTCTTTCCTTCTTAACCTCAACAAAATGGCCAAATTGATATTCGTAAAACACAGATCTGACCAATCATCCTTATACTTAACTCAAAATTCTTTAACATCTCCTATTTCCTCTAAATTGAACTAAAAAACTCTTTAGGCTGGCATTTAAACCCTTAACAAACTGGCTCCTATCTATATTTTCAGGCTCAATATTTCTCTTTTTCATGAACTCACTGTTTAAGTCAAAGTAACCTTCAAGCAAGTCTTTCCTGTATTTGACCTTCTTTCTCTCCCATCCATGCCATAAGTGGTTCTCATATCTAGAATGGACTCTCCTCTTCTTTGCCTCTTCACATTCCCACCTTCAAATCACAGCCCAGGTGCCACTTCCTACATGAGAGCTTTCCTGATTACTCTACTTATTAGCACTCCTTCCCTCACAAAATTACTTTGTATTTACTCACTTGTATACATATAGTTGTCCATTTCCTATTTTTGATTGTCAATTACTTGTTTAAATAGTTCAGGATTAAGTTATTTCAATTGCACAGCATATCTTTTTCTCATTATTATTCTTTCTTCCTGCTGTTTAACTAATTCTGATTTTAGCTCTGACAAGTCAGTGGTCTAATTGTATACATACAGATGATTCAGGGATAACTCCAACGTGAATAACAAATATATTCCTATTTATTGAAATATAATCTATTTCTTTCTGTGGTGTTATTTGGTGCTTGCCACGTCCAGCATATACCAATTCTTTTCTTGAAGAAACTGTTCATGACAAATGGACATGAATCTTCTGTGTATCTATGTCTTTAACTCCTTTCATTCCTTCTTCATGAACCATACTTTCTCACATATTTTTATTCCTATTGTCACCTTTTCCTACCTTTGTATTGAAGTCAAGTATCAGAATGTATGTTGGTTTAATTTAGAGGGCATTATCAAGTTTTTCCATAGTTTCTCTATTCTTTATCCTCAGCAACCAGTATTGGGGCATAAGCTAGTTATTTTCCATAGTAATATTTTTCCAATTACTCATAATTGTGATGACTATTATGACGGCAATGTGATGACCAAATATCCCATAAAGTAATGTTTCTTTTTGCCTTTGAGTGTACAATAAAGTCTATTCCATCAATTCCTTTCTTTGCCATTTTAAGGAATTCCTGTGAGCCATCCTTCAATTTATCTATAACATGTCTTTCTTTTATTTTATAGCAAGAATAGACAACAGAAATTATACAGAAGGTAATTAAAATAATTTTACAACAAAATTTTAACTAATCTAAACTGATTGCTATAATAAGACCACCAAGAAGACTCCTTAGCAAGCAGCTGACTCACTTGCCAGAGAGAGATGGTTGACAAAGGAAACAAGGATTAGGATATAAATAAAGGTTAGAATATTTGTAAAATCTTACAAAAATGGTGATGGACAATTAAGAGCAATATGGTCTCATAAATCAGAAATAAGTAGTAACAAGTAAAACCAGTTTAAAGAAGCCCTGGCAACTTATTCGACTAAGTGAAATCACTCCAAGGGCACTGAAGGATGAAAATGGAAGATGATAACCAAAAGAAAAGTAAAAAAGAAACTAAAAATCATTATAGCAAAGCATTTTCTCCATCAAGGGCAGCAGAACCATTACGCTTAGATTCAAACATCACAATCCTTAGATGTGCTTATTGGGAAGATAGAAAAAGCACTAAACGATAACAAAGAGGAAAAAGTCAGTCAGATTGGACCAAGTGTGTTCAGAGAAGATCAGTACTGGAACTAACATAATTTTGAGAGCACTGAGAGATTATAACCCAAGATATTTGAAAAAGGGGAAGATATCAAAGATATGGAAAAAAATTCAGGCCTTATTAATACCAAAAAAGGTGGCTGAAAGAACATTAATTAACTACTGACCAATATACATTAATTTCTACAAAATCTTTATGAGAATCATCTATACATGAACTGAAGGTGTCATCAATGAAGACATTGGCAGATAAGTAACCTTTTGAAAATGATATTCAACAGTGGACCATATCTTTATCAAACCTACCCCTTTTACACTCCATTAATATTTTGGCACTCACTGAGACCTATATCCCTCCTGATAACACAATTCCTAGCTACCTTTTCCAGAACTGGTTGTATATTCACTCATCTCACTTTTCACCCACTGAATCTCCTGGCTTTGGGTATTTTCACTGGCTGAATTCTCTTTCTTATCATCCTCACATTTCTTGGCCTCTTCTACCTTCTTTCAAGTCCCAGCTAAAATCTCATTTTCTACAAGAAGCCTTCCCTGAGCTCCCTTAATGACAGTGCCTTTGTCTATTGATTATCTCCAATTTATCCTGTGTATATCCTGTTCACATATAATTGTTTGTATGTTGTCTCCTGCATTAGACTGTCAGCTTCTTTAGAGCAGGGGCCGTTTTTTACCTTTTTTTATATCACAGGTCCTGACACACAAGTAGCCACCTAATAGATTAACTTGACTTGATTCATTGCACATTTCCCCCAACTCACTGGTCCTGGTGCAGAAGCTGTACTTGTACTTGTTTTCCATTGCTACTCCCTCTACCCTCTTCATTAAGCAACTTCTCCTTTTGTTCAACTGTGTTATCCAAACCAGATCCTGGTAGCCATTATCTATTGTCCTCCAGATCATTCTCTTTCCGTCTTCACTGAATTCAGTACTTGCCTCTGAGTTGTTTTCTCTACCTCAGTTCTTGTCCTCATAAAAAAGGATTTCAACATACATGCTGATGCTTTCTCAATACCATAATGTCTTGGTCCTCATTCTACTCACTTCTCATGACCCACCTCAGCTGCACACAGAGATATATTATTAACCTTTGGTCTTGTTATCACCCACAAGTGTTCCACTTCCATGTTCATGAATTCTGAAATTCTTTTATCAGATTGTAATCTTTGATAACCTCATCTTTCTACACTTACGACACCTACCCCTGTTCATCATTCTCACCATAATCTACATCCCTTTCACCCCTCAGTTCTTTTCCAAGCCATCATCTCTGCCATAATATCATCCTCATTTCCCAGATAGTTTTTAGTTTCTCTCTATCTACTATGCAGTGGATGGAGTGCTGGGCCTTGAGTCAGGAAGAGGTGAGTTCAGATCAGACACAACCTGTATGACCCCGGGCAAGTCACTTACCTTCTATTGGTCTTTAGTTCTTACAACTGTAAAATGGGGCTCGTAATAACTCTGACCTCCCAGTGTCATTGTTAGGATCAAATGAGATAATATCTGTAAAAATGTATCTTATACATGTTTCTCTTTATTCACATAGCCACCACTCTGGTATTAGCCCTCATCTCTTCACACTCAGACTACCATAATAGCTTTCATGCCTCATGTCTCTCTCTACTCCAATCTATCCCAAGTGATCTTTCCTCAGTGCAGATCTA